TGTATCTAAATGTCTCAAAGGCAACTAAGTAAAACACTACCAAAGGTTTCCAGTTCATTTAGTTCTCTAGAAATTTCCAATCAGAGAACTAACTGAATGTTGTCCAAGAATCAACATTTCCACAATTGCATTATGTCATCACAGCCAAAAGAAGACAGAAATGTGGTCAATGATCACTATTTTGATGGGTAAACACATAAAATCTTTGCCCTAAAAGACAAAAGTATTATTTTCTATGAGCAAACATCTAGACTTTTAATTCCAATGACCTTCAAAGCAGTTTACCTTTGTAAGATTTTCACTTCTTTTCATAATCAGCTTACAACCACTAGGATAACTACGCAATCTTCTAAAATACAGACGTTATCTCCTCACCTATATCTAGAAATTATTTATAAAGTATGTGCTTATGTTGTCTTAATTGAGTAATGTGCATGCTGTTCCATGCAATTCCTAAGCCAGTCTAGAAGTCTTTAAAAATGAAAAACAAATACTAAGAATGTCTTTTCTAAAACAAGGCACAGAAGTTAAAATGAAGTTGAGAGGAAAAGGGAGGGGGGGTTCCTGTTATTGTATGTAAGTACAGTAAATACATCAATGTAAATATAGTATTATTTCAATAGGATTTTGTAAAAGTCCTGATAGCTAATTTTATGATTTACTGCACTAAAAGACTAATATCTTAAAACAATGACTTACTTTCTCCCTCTAGTTCTCTTCATTTAAAATTAATAAAGCACTTAATAACATAGTGTCAAACAAAACTATAAACACAAAATACTAAAAAAAAAAGAGTAATTTCTTAAATAGTAGTTTTGTGATAAAGGTTTTAAATAGAATTTCAATCATGGCACAATAATGCTCAAAATAAAGACCGATTTGCATATTAATCTTATAGAAAAATTGCATAGAGAGACCACTCTTTTGTTTCTACTCAACATCATAAGGACAACTTAAAATAACTGGTTTTAAATCCAATACAACAGAATTTTTTTTCTTAGAAAGTCAAGCTATCAACTTATGGATCCCATTTCAATCTGATGTGCTTTGGTCTAGCTAAGTACTAAATCCTTAAGTATAGAGGATGAGTAATGGAAACTTGCTCACAGAAATTTGGACAGCTTCAACAAGACAAAACTATAGAAAAAGCCAACTACAGAACATTACCCTACTCTCCACTCAAACCAAAACCCAAGACCTTTAACATGCCAATACAATACTTTCTAATACTGACACCTAAATTATATTTGATCAAATAAAGGTTCAACAAAACACAAAATATTGACTACCCAAAAAACTATCAGTTCATAATTTCTAAGCTCTCTTCTATATGCTGTGTTAAATGCTTTGACATCAAAGAAATCTCTTTTAACATGAAAATTCTCAAGAGGAAGAAGGCTCAAACCCAGTCTGGGAGAACACAATGGAATCACAGCTGACATGCACATCTTTTTTGAGATGATTCCATATGCTTGGGAAATTTTTCCCTCCTAACCAGGCTCATTAGAGGACTTGCTACTCTCTGCCACTAAAAATCTGATGATAGTTTCAAGAACTGCTGTAGAGAATGAAGTGAAATATTACTTTCAAGCAGACAGGGGAGAAGAAAGGATATGCATCACAATGGCCATCACTAACTAATGAGGGAGTGAATGCTGTCAAACTTTGAATGCTGTTTAATTTACAATTCTACCTACTTTAGTTGGCCTAAATAAATACTGCATCTTCTGTTTTAAATCTTCTATCACTGAAAAAACAACTTAAAGAACTATAGCAAGTGAATACAATTAATATATGTAGACATGAACATTTCAAATTATACTGGGTTGGGTATTCATATTATAAATTTGAAAATGGTATACAACAACAGAATACTGGTGTTTAAAGTGACAGTCTCCAGTCTTCTTGCTTAGTAACTTAATATTTACAAAATCTTGAGAAGCTGATATAAATAACATAAATATCATGCTCATAAAATAGTTTTTTTAAAAATTCCCAATTGAAATTCAGAAGATACTTGTCCCCAAAATGAATGGACTCATTTTTCAATCTAACACTATTCCTCTTTTAAACTCCCCATTATGCTATAGATTCCAGTTGGGAAAAGAAGTGTTGCTGCCAGGGTGTACTCATCCCACCAACAAAGAGCAGAAGAAGCTCCTCGCACGCAGAAATCCTAGAGGCAGCTGCTGTCTTTTGAAGGGTATGCTAATTCAGCAGAGTAACCTGTGATCCTCAAAGAGCACCACAAACCTACCCTCTGGGTTCCTCAAAGTCAACTGGCAAAGTCACTTCACTGAACCCAACAGTAAAAACAACCAAAGATGTCCCCTGACCGCGTATAAACAAAGTGTCCACATGCGGTTCCCATTCAGTAAGTGTTTAAGACGAAAACTAAATTATTTTTAAGAATCTTTTGTGTGGGAGTAATTTGGCAAACTACGTTTTACCCAAGTGTTCCCCCCCCCCCCGTGGACAATTATTCTTCGACTAGCTTTTTGCTCCTTAAATACCCACGGCTCAATGTTTCCTTGAGGCTTTGATTCCGAACTTCATTTTGTTTACCCAGGGAAGAGGAGGGAGGGGGAAGGAGAGGGAGGGAGGGAGGGGGAGAGGGAAGGGGAGAGGGAGGGGGAGAGAAAAGGGGTAAGGGAAGGGGTGAGGGAGAGGGAAAGAGGCAGAGAGAGAGGGAGAGGGAGGGGAGAGGGGGGGGAGAAAGAAGGGGGAGGGGAAGAGAGGGGGCAGAGAGAGACAGAGAGACAGAGACAGAGAGAAGGGGGAGCATACTATAAATCTCAACTTTTTTTTTAATGACATCCCCCAAATGCCTTATTTCCAAATGCATTTCGGGAACCGGCGGTCCAATTAAACAAGGAACCGGCGAAGCCTTGACAAACAATGATGCTTTACGAGCCCAATCCGCACTTGACGTAAGGCGACCTATGCCTCCATTCTCCGGGTGCCCTGAGAATTTCATTGTCCGGGTGCCCGAGCAGAGCTGACACGGGGGTGGGCGGGTGAGTCCCAGGAGCCCCGGCACCCAAGCCTGCCACTGAGGTTCAGATCACCATCACGACGACATATGCCATTTTAGAACCGACCGGGCCTCAGGAGTTCCTGCCACCTCCTAAAGTGGCTTTAGACTTCCAAGAGTCCAAGACAACGCCTCCGGCGGCACGAGAAAAATACAGTCGCTCGGGTCCCTCCACACCTCTCCCCAAGCCCGGACCCATGATGACACACAACCCTACAGACCCCGGAGCAGGAGGACTGGGGATAGACAAGAGCAGAAAGCTCTCGGCGTCTCCATGACTCCCCCGCCCCGCGTGCAACTCTGCTGTAACTGGTCCGCACAAACCCCACCCCCTTCCTTCCTCCGATCCCCACCATTGGCTTACCGACACCCGGCAGGTCGGTTCCCCGCCTCCGATTGGCTCACTGCCCCATCCGTCAGACCCAGCAAGATTCGGGTCGGTGGGAGGGGAAGGCGTTGGAGGAGGTGGAGTGGGAGTAGGATTAGAGGACGAGGTGGCGGAGGAGGGTGTTCGGGCTCCGTCTCACGTTTAGGAAAGTTTCCCGTACCGGTGACGGACCCACAGGCATCAGCCCCAGCCCAAGTCGCGGCCGCAGAAGACGCTCCGGTGGCCGATTCCCGCCCCTCGGTCCCGCAGGCCCCGGAAACCACTAGGGGGAGGGGAAAGAGGGAGGGACCATGGAAACAGGGACCGACCCACCCCCGAGCTCGGAAGAGGCGCCTCCGGGACTCCCCGGAGGGGCGGGGGCGGGGAGCTCCGCCCGCAGCCGCGACCCCGGCCCCGCTCCCCCGCAGCCCCCGGGGTCCTGGGGTGCGTCTCAGGCCCCCATGACTGAAGCGAGACGGCCCGAGGCGGGGAGGAGAAAGCTCCCGCCTCGCGCCGCCCCCCACACCCCATCCCCGGGCCTGTCCCTTCAGGGGCGGCGAGAAGGGGGGGAGAGAAAAGGGGGCGCTGGCGAGCCAACCCGGAACCTCCCGGCCCGCCTCCCGCCCCCGGCCCCGGCCCCAGCGCGCCGCCGGCACACACGCCCGCACCCAGAAAGTTAAGTCAGGGGCGAGCCCAGCTCGGCGGCGCCGCGGCGGCCCGGCCCCCGGCTCCCCGCCCCCACCGCGGCCCGGCCCGGCTCGGCCTGCGCGGCCCCAGCGCGCCGCCGCCCCGCCCGCCGCAGCTCCTTCCCGTCGGCTCGCCCGCCCGCCCGCCCGCCCGCCCGCGGTGCCCCTCGCCCCCCACCCCGGGCGCTGACACGGGCCCGGCGGGCCGCGGCCCCCTCCTCCTCCGCCCTCTCCGTCCTACCTCCCCTCCGCCCCCCGCGCCCCGGCCGCCGGCCGCTCCTGACGCTCCGCTTCACCTTCACACACTCACACACACTCACACCCGGCACTTCCCGAGCGCTGCTCCGACGCCAGGCTCCCACCCCGCGCTGCGGCCGCTCCTCGCGTCCGTGAAAAGAATGCACCACCTCGGATTCACCTTCCCGGCGCTGCCCCCCGAGGGTGGCTGGAGCCTCGGCCCGCGCCAGCCCCGCGCCGACCCAGTCGGGTGGCGGGGACTCGCTCCTGCGGGCGGGGGGCCGCACCCGCCGTCCCCGGCCTCCCCACCGCTCCTCGCCGCTCACCTCTGCGCCCGCGCCACGGCTCGCAGCCTCCGCCCGCCTCGCGCTCCGGGACTCGTCCCCGCCAGGGGCTGGAGCGCCTCCTTTCTCTCCCGGGGACTCCGAGTCTCCCCGCCGCTTCCCGCCCTCCCCGCCCCACACACCCTCCCCAAACCCCAACTCCCCGAGCTCCCCTCCGCCGATGCAACTCCCCGTTCTCCGCACGCTCGGCTCGGGGCAGCGCTGCCCGCACACAACAGCGCGCACGGCGCCGCCGGGCTGCGCGCAGGAAGGGCAGTCGCGGCCCGGGGGTGGGGACGCGGCGCCCCCCGCCTCCCGCCCGCCCTCGTGGCCCCCGGGGAAGGCGCGGTTACCGGCTCACGGTCGGTCACGCCGTCAGGTGCCGGCTGCCGTCGGCGCTGACCTTCGCCGCCCAGGCTGGGGCTGAGACTGTGGCCGCCATGTTCCCGTGTTAATAACTGCTGCCTGGTTGTTTATTTCAATGGAGATCCTCCCCCAACCCTCCGCCTCCTCCGCCGCCGCCGCCGCCGCCTCGGCGTCTCCGCACTTGCGGAGAGACACAGACCGCGCGAGCTCGCGAGCAGGGGAGGGGGCGCGGAGCTGGCCGGTCCCTCCCACCGCTCCGGGCCGCGGCCGCCGCCTGTCACCACGGAGAGCGCGGGGCGGAAACTTGCCGCCCGCGCCCCCGACCGGGGAGCAAAGGTGGCCCGAGGCTGCTCCCGGGAGACGCAGAGCCCGCAGGCGGGGTCCGCAGCATCTCCGCCTGCGGGGAGGCGGGGGGGGGGTCCTCGGGGGAAAGGCAGAGGAGCGGGATGGGGAGTCCGTGGGTGACTGTGGCCGAGCGAGGACGACCTGAGGGCGACTGGAAGTGCAGGCAAAGTAAACAGGACTCCATGCGAGGGCAAAGGGCAGTGCCAAAAAAGAAAGCTAGCAAGTGGCACGGGACGGGGACCGTGGGTTTGCACACCACGGGGACGGCTCCCCAAGACGATGATCGAGGAGACCCAACTGTCAGGTTGGCAACCCCGAAAGGAGCCTTTAGCCCCGCGCTCGGGGACGGGCTCCCTGCTGCCAGCACCCTGCGCCCCTCGGGCGCACCTGGCGCGCGCGCGCAAGAGCACAAACGCGACCCAGCCTGCTGAGGCTCCCTGGAGGCGCCCCTCGGCGGTCAAGTGGTCAAGTCCCTCGGCTCTGTCCACGGCCCGCTGCCCCGAAGCAGCCCGACTCAAGAGGGGATGGAGAGGCGCGATTGTGGGCGATGAGCTTAAAGGGGTGCGGCCCCGCAATTGCTTAATGAAGCTAATGCTGCACACAGGGCTTCAATTAAAACCTAACCTGGCCGAGCGTTTCCCCCCACACTGTAAGGACACAAAAATGTGTTTTTCTTTTTTCATTGGGAAGTTCGCTCCCAACCTCAGCAGAGAATGGCAAACGAGGTTAGATATAATTAGTTGAACGAAAAATGAGCAGCGTTTGTGTAACCACAATTTCTCAAACTATGAAAGAATCATATTTCCTTGTTTTTCATATTACAACGAGAAGGGTCAATGTCACTATAGATAATAGTCTTTATTCAAAATGTTAAAATAAGGATACAGGTTGACCCATTGTAACAATGAGATGTACAAGACACAATGTTGAAAACGAACTTTACAACTGGGTGGCGGGGAGGGAGGGGAGGAGGTGAAGAGGTGGGAGGGAAGGGATGGTAGAGGGAAAACAAGGGAGGTAACAATGCTTGATAGGAAATGTACTCATTACCTTACCCATGTAACTGTCACCCCTCTGTACAATATTTTTACAATAAAAAAGTAAGTTGTTAAAACCTAAAAAATAAGTGTTCATTGAGCACTTACTGTTTGTCTGGCACTGTGTTGCAATTTACAAGTTTTAACTCTCAGCCCTCAAAAAATAATTTTATATACTTTACAATACACACACACACACAAAGCTTGAAGTGATTTTCGTAGGGTCATGCACATGTCAAGCAAGGAGAAGATAAGAGCCCAAGTCTAGTGAGCTCAGGCCTTTCATAACCTTTTCAACCCCCCGACTGTGGGAATGGCACCAATTTGAGTAAAGTAAAAAAGTGCCTAAATATGACTAGAAAATGTTAGCACTGGGAGAGTAGAAGAAGAATGCAATTGGTTAGACCATATATTGTCAGTTTTCAATTTTTTAACTTAAACTAGCTGGAATAGCAGAATTATGCTCCCTAAAAACAAAGTATTCCCAAAACTTGGTCTTGGAAATAGAAAATGGAGAGGTTCATTTGTTGGTTGTGGGGCTTGAACTCAAGGCTTGGGTACTGTCCCTCAGCTTTTTCAGCTCAAAGCTAGCACTCTGCCACTTTGAGCCACAGCACCACTTCCTGTTTTCCTGTTTTGTGGTTAATTGGAGATAAGAGTCTCACAGACTTTCCTGTCCTGACAGGCTTTGAACGGGATCCTCAGATCTCAGCCTTCTGAGTAGCTAGGATTGCAGGCATAAGCACCTGTTCCTGGCACATGGAGTTTTATAGCCTTTATCTTTCATTAGTACTACTCTGTAATGTTCTTGCAATGAAATGCTACTCATGTGACATCTATCCCATTTCTCAGATTTTTGTCCTTATCCCCAACTGCACATTATCAGAAGAAAAGATTCTTCCTGCCCTGAACTGGTGACTCGTGCCTGTAATCCTAGCTACTAAGGAGGTTGAGGTCTGAGGATCACATTTCAAAGCCAGCATGAAAGAAAGTCCACAAGACTCTAATCTCCAATTCCAGAAGATTAGATGTGGTGCTGTGGCTCAAGTGGTAGAGCACTAACCTCGAGCTGAAGAACTCAGGGACAGCATTCAGGCCCATAGTTCAAGCCCCATGACTGATAATAAATAAATAAATAATGTTCTTCCTGCTTTTTCCCCCTCCTGATTTTTGGTAGGAGTCCAGAGTCCATCAGTCCTGCCACAGTAGATTTAACACTTTTAAAAACTATCCATGATGTCTGTGCAAACGACTTCCCATTATATTGCTGTATTACTCAGTAAAACTTCTACTGAATGCTGAAGATACAGGACTGTTCCAACAATAAATAAATAAATGCACAGAAAATCTGACAGCATAGTACAATGAGTTCCACATTCAGCTGCTACTCAGTTGTGTTGAACCTGGAGAAATCGTGTAGCATCTAATAGCCTCTAGGCTCCCTCTTGTACTAAAGTTCTTTATATGATCACCTTAGCTATAAGTTGCTCAGGGCCTAGGAATCTTTTTTTATTTTTTTTTGGGGGGGGGGTCCAGTCATGGAGCCTGAACTCTGGGCCTGGGCGCTGTTCCTCAGCTCTTCAGCTCAAGGCTAGCGCTCTACCACTTGAGACATAGTTCAACTTCCGGCTTTTTTCTTTTTGCTTATGTGGTGCTGAGGAATTGAACCCAGGGTCTCATGCATGCAAGGCAAGCGCTCTACCACTGAGCCACCTTCCCAGCCCAGGGCCTAGGAATCTTAAGTTATTATTTGTATAAGCTAGAGTACCTAACAAAAGGTTGTATAAGGTTCATTGATGAATTGGGTTCATGTGAGACCACAAATAATTTTTATTAAAGCTATTCATAATTATTAGTGAATTATCACTGTGATCATGTAAAATAAAAAGGGTTAAAAAGAAAGAAAGAAAAAGGGTAGTGTTGAGCTCTGGTGGCTCACACCTATAATCCTAGCTACTCAGGAGGCTGAGATCTGAGGATCACAATTCGAAGCCAACCCAGGCAGAAAAGTCCATGTGAGACTCTTATCTCCAATTTACTCAAAAACCAGAAGTGGTGCTGTGGCTCAAGTGGTAGAGCGCTAGTCTTGAGCACAAAGAGGCTCAAGGCCCAGGCCCCTGAGCCACAACTGACAAAAAAAAGCAGGGTGGGGGTTAAAGTTGATTTAATGACACAAAAGAAAAAGAAAGAAAAAATATAGTAACTAGGTGTATAATCAAAACAAAATGACCCCAAAAGGAAAGAATGTGGGTGCAAATCATAAAAAAAGAAGGAAATTATTGAAACTTAGTAGAAGCAGAAACAACAGATCATGGATGTATGAGTCAAACTAAAGTATCAACAGAATCATAAATACAGCATGAAATATAAAGAAGAAAATGATAAATTGTGTATTAAAATATAAGAAAAACCAGGTCAGGTGCCAGTGGTTCACAGTAGCTACTCAGGATGCTGAGATTTGAGGATTGTGGTTCAAAGCCAGGTCAGCCAGGAAAGTCCGTGAGATTTTTATCTCCAATAAACTACCAAAAGATGAAGTTGGAGCTATGCCTCAAGTGGTAGAGTGCTAGCCTTTGAGCCAAAAAGAAGCTCAGGTTCAGCACCCAAGCTAGCACAAAAAAATAACTAGAAAAGAATATAAGAAAAATCAAAAGAATATACAAGAATTTCTGGGTTTGTCTGCCCTCAATTTTCAAGGTAGTTGCTTTTGTCATACATAGGCTACATAAAAATGAGAGATTCTATTGCTTTTTTCTATTAACCTGCTAACATGCATCATAATACGGTGAAAGTAAAACAGGATGGTAAAAAGCTATAGAAGATAATATACGTGACAAGCAATGTGCTTTGTTACTTACATGTCACTAAATATTGCAATTTCTTCATATGTATAATTATTGGAACTTAAAATAGTGTAAATAAATGTATGCAATTAGCTATCATGTTCTTTACACATATTTAAGAAAATATTATGCTGGCAAACATTCTCAAATGCAAAAGCAACAACTTTATTAAAAACACAATCATTACTTTAACTCCCATTTCCTACATATGGAACAGGAAATGGTTCTCTATTTTCCCCATTTTTCTTTCTTCCTGTTATAGCTGCTAAAACTTGCAAAAATAGTAATTATTTTCCAGCACCAGTGGTTCATGCCTATAATTCTACCTACTTAAGAGACCAAGACTTGAGAATCATAGTTCAAAGCCTGCCTCAGAAATAGGTCCATGAGGGTCTATGTCCATTAACCAGCAAAAAGTTAGACTGGAGGTACTCACAGTGGTAGAGTGCCAGCCCCTGAAGAGACACAGCTGAGTTCAAGCCTAGGTACCAGCACAGACACACACACACACACACACACACATACACACACACACACACACACACACACACACACACACACACACACACACACCACATTTATTGCACTATCCAGTACAATGAAGTAAGAAAATAAGAAAGAAAACAAAACCATCTTTATTCATTGATGAAATGATAGTGCACATATAGCTGAGCTCCAGTGACTCACACCTAGCCACTCAGGAGTCTGAGATCTGAGGATTACAATTCAAAGCCAGCCAAAGCAGGAAAGTCCATGAGACTCTTATTTCCAATTAACCACCAGAAAACCAGAAGTTACACTGTGGCTCAAGTGATAGAGCACTCTCCTTGAGCTCAGAGTTCAAGCCCATGACCTCCCCAAATAAAATTCAAACATATCTATAAAATACTAAAATTACTTAAATTAAGAATATAGGATAGCGGAGTGCCAATGGCTCATGCCTGTAATCCTAGTTACTCAAAAGGCTGAGACCTGAGGATTGAGGTCTCACTGGTAATCTTATCTCCAACTAACCACCAAAAAGCTGGA